CCTGCCTCTCACTCTAATCGTCTTTCTACCCCCACCATTGCCATCAGCGGTCCATTCTAGATGTCGATGAGTGTGAATCATCTCCGAGTATCTTTTATCCTTGTTCAACATTCGGTGAAGAACAAGGATAAATGATACTCGGAGTTGATAGAGTCGAGTTTTGGAACGCACCCTAGAAAGAAAATATCGTCCACTAGATCCCTATAATTTCTAAGGTTATGCATCCTGGTGCTGAGATGATACGCGCGCTTTCCGGTTTACCGTTCACCATTCGTTATTTCGGCGGTTTCACGTTATTTCACGTCTGCTTGCTTGTATTGATGTTACGAACAGGTGACACAGATTACTACAAAATATTGTATCTATCATTAAAATTGTCGCATTGTTATCAAGCCAACTCTGCTTTTTCAGGACTACGACTATACTTGTGAGGACATGGATTCCGACGGCTGCTCGTTAACTTGCACCATTATCCTGGAATGGTTGAACGCACAAGGATCTATTCTGAGAAAGGTAACTCACAGAACAGCGTCGCTACGTCTAATTCGAGATCGTCAGCGCGAGATGCTCGTAGAAGTACATGTCGAGAAGGCGAACGTGCTCACGAAGCTACCTCTGAAAGGTATATCGGTATTTAATAAATTCATGACTGAGGGAAAGGCTTCTATCAAGTTCAAGGAACAGAACTGTACGTTGTTTCTGTCAAATGCACCCTCTTCTCAGCTGATTAATTTTTTAAAAACCATATTTATCAAGCTGACAGGCCAAGAAGTAAAGACTGTGAAGAATCCCTTGCAGGAGAAACTCTTTGCAAATGTACAGCCAGGTGAGAATATTAGCCCGGCTACTAGTGCAGAGGTCAATAGAGCGAAGGAAAAAGCTATGGCTGTATCACGTGCAACGGTTACTACTCCATCGCCGAGCGCAGTCAGGAAGCGAAAACATTTCAGCGACGATAGTCCTAAAGTATCCACGGCAAAAAAGCTGTACGAGAATCCTACCGCAGGAGAGTTGACAGAGGAACAGGCTCAAATTCTGAATGCGGTGCTTGGTGGAAAGAACGTGTTTTTCACCGGTAGTGCAGGCACTGGAAAGTCATTTCTGTTAAGGAAAATAATTTCAGCCCTTCCTCCAGATGTAACAATGGCTACAGCAAGCACTGGGGTAGCAGCCTGCCACATAGGTGGAATTACATTGCATCAGTTTGCTGGTATTGGTCTGGGTACTGGCACTAAGGAGAGATGCATCCAGTTGGCTTCTCGTCCAGCTTCAGCTTCAACATGGAGGAAGACAAAGCACTTAGTGATAGACGAAGTTTCTATGGTAGATTGTGATTTTTTTGATAGGATTGAGGAAGTGGCAAGACACGTGCGAAGGACCGAAAGACCTTTTGGAGGAATACAATTAATCTTGTGTGGCGACTTCTTTCAATTACCTCCTGTTTCTAAAATTAATGACAAAGCAAAATTTTGCTTTCAAAGCGAGGCCTGGCAAAAATGTGTCCACTTCAATTTTGAATTGCAAATTGTCCACCGACAAAAGGACAAGGCGTTCGTAAAAATATTAAATAGCATTAGGATAGGTAGAGTCACGGATGATATTGTAGATATTTTAAAGGAAACGGCAAAACAAAAAATTGAAAGTAATGGCGTATTAGCAACTAGATTATGTTCTCATGTAAAAGAGGCCGATGAGATCAATGAATTTCAATTGAATGAACTTAAAGGTGAGAATAAAGTATATACAGCATTAGATTCTGATAGTTCTATGACATCTATGTTGGATCAGCAGCTGCCTATTCCTGGCAAATTAATACTGAAAGTTGGCGCTCAAGTTATGCTAATGAAAAATATAAATGTTAATAGTGGATTAGTAAATGGTGCTCGAGGTGTTATTATTGATTTTAAAAATGATATACCTATAATTAAGTTGCGATCGGGAACGCATTACGAAGCAAAGATGGAAAAATGGGCTATCAAAACTAGTTCTGGTGCTGTTATACATCGAAAACAAATTCCTTTAAAGTTAGCATGGGCCTTTTCAATTCACAAAAGCCAAGGTTTAACTTTAGACTGCGTGGAAATGTGCTTGTCGAGAGTATTCGATGCTGGTCAATCTTATGTAGCACTTTCAAGAGCTCAAAGCTTACAAAGTTTACGTGTTTTAGATTTTAATAGCCAACAGGTATGGGCTAATACAGCTGTACTAGAATTTTATAAAAAGTTCAGGAGGAATTTACAAGAGATGGAAATGATTCCTCTAGGTAAGAAAATAAAGTTGGAAGGAAGTAAAAGATAATATTTATATTTTTTATAGTCTATATATATAAATTGTTAGAAGTAAACAATTTATATTAACACACGCAATAAGAATTATATAACAATTATTAATTTCTCAGTAAAGGAAATATCTTCTTTATTTTTACATATATATTAATACGTTTTTTTTTTACAAATATTACAATTTACTAAAGACTCTAATTGATATTTATATTAATATTAATAATCGTCGACAGTAATTTCAATGGGCGGTATATAACGCCATGTATGTCCTGCATTTATAAGTTCCGAATAAAGTATTGGAGAGTTTGGAGCGGATTCTTTACTACTGCATTGAATATCTATTTTGTACTGACCAGAAGTGAAAAATACTACGCGACATTCATGATAGGCTCTGCCGTATTCCTGTAACTATTATTTATTCATAATAAAATAGAATGTAAGACATGCGTATACAGCTAAACATTGCATTTATGAAAAGTGTGACTTACAGTAGGCAGCATGACTTTATTTGCTCCAGCTATGGATAACCTTGTTTCTAATTGATAATTGTTAACACCGTTATGATGGTCCTGATAGAAATTAATGGACAATGTAAGATCACTCAGAGGATGTTCCAGAGCATTGCACACTCCCACACCAACGCTGATGCATTCACCCAAAGCACATGACAGTTCCTCTTGTGCTTTTACAATAATATCGTTGATAGTTATTTCTGGAAAATGTTAGTAATTTTAAGTGTCTTATTATACACATACCTATAGTAAGTTTATACTCTTATAGTAAACAGTATTTACGCACCCCATTGTAGAGGACTCATTCTCACTAGATCCAACATATCTTGAGTTAGAGTAATACCAGAGAGAGTTGCTTTTCCTGTCGATTCAGTACCTAATAATTGCCAGCGCAGATCAACCAATGAAGCTATATGCTCGGCACATATTTTTTGGAGTTCACTTGTATCACCAGCACCATTTAACTATAAGCGCAAAACGATAAAATAGTATGTCTTACATTACATTACAGTATGTCTTTAAATAGGTAGTAAATCTTTATATATATTTCCGTTATTACCATAGATAATTTATTAAGTGGACATCGGTCAACCGGAACAGGAATTCTGCATGGTTCTTTACCTTCCATATATATACATTTATTTTGCGTATAGTGTAATTCCATTTCATGATTTGTCATATTTGACACGTCCAACACAAGATAAAATTGCAATGGTCTAAAAATTGTCAGGGAGAAAATATTTATAGACAAAATATATATCTTGATATATAAGATACAAATTATAGGAATAAATTATTTTACAAAGCATTTGCGTTTTTTTTTTTGCAACTTACGTTTCGGCCGGCAATACATCCCAGTTAGTAATCTGTACACTAGGTAGCATCTCAATGGTTACAAAAACAGATGAGATTCTGCAATAACCATTTATCAAGCCTGCACCTCCTGAGTATTTAATTCTTAATTGACCTTCAATAATATTAGATGTATGTAAAGGTATTGCAAGTTTCGACAATCGCGTGCTTGCTAAGGAAGAATGGCCGGAATGTGAACTTATTCCTGATCTAAAAGAAGAAGTCAGCTCGGATTGTCTTTTCGTATGATGAGACGGAGAACTAAGCCTAGATGGTAAAGAACTGTGGCCTGAATGTGACATTAGACTGCTTGGTTGACTAAGGCAGGTACTGCTAGTAACATCTGAAAAATAAGTTTTTAAGAAGAAAGAGCACTAAATTTAAAAAATTGTGCTACTATGGTAATATAATTAATTATATTACCATTTCTAATTGAAGGTGCTACAAAATCCGTTGCTGCATACAGATATAAGGTAAGACTTGCACTGCTGCCAGGTTGTAAAGGCAGTTGTGTCATCAGATTCTCATCGCTCCATTTAAAAATTTTACTTTCAGTTAGAGCATCCAAAGCAGATTGTACTGATAATTCGACCATTTCAATAGGAACTTGTCCAGCATTCGTTATTGTCACGGTACACTCGGCGCTGTAAACGTAAGCGAAATCATTATGCATGAAAATGATATATTGATAAAAAAATTTTATAGTGTTTATAGACACAAACCTTTCACCGCCATAGAGTGATATACTCGCGCTGGTAACTATATTGTCACCGGAACTGAAACTGGCAGTTTGAGGCAAACTAGTCGCGACATCGATTCTTGGTAAAGCTGGAATAACTTCGACGGTATATTGAGGATGTAACATACCCTCCATGTATCTTAATCTACAGTTAGATTTAACTCCTAATGTGTGAGTGCTAAATCCGAGTATTTCTAAATCTCCAACTTCCTTGGGTCTGCCTGCTAGCGTAACCGCAATCGGACCAGACTCAGCAGGCAGACTAATACTCTCTG